ATTAAATGATAATTAGTCAGTCTACCTCTAATCTGATGGTTAATAGATCATGTCAAAGGCTTTCTTATGGAGAAGATTGAATTGGAATTTCATCTATAGCATTAACATAATGCATTACGATAATGGGTCCCAATCCCAGACCTGAAGCTTCAGGGAAGTTTGGATATGGAAATTAAGCTGAACCCAAGCTTTCTGCCTCAAGTGTCTCACTGTGCAAAACCAGAATCTAGGCATTTTTCTCCTGCTGAACTTGGGAGAAATTGAGATTTTAAATAGGTAATTACATTACCTGAGTCCAGTGTGGCAAGGCAGTGCTTCCAAGATTTAACCACTAATAATGGGGTGACTAGAGAATCTCAGGAAAGAAAGCAGCTTGGTTACCTACATACAAATTCCCAGGGCTGTGAAGGTGCTCAGCTCATTCTGCCATTCCAGAGGAGCAGCAGAGTATTTTAGGTATTTTTTTCCATACCTGGCAGGCCCAGATATCTTTCTTCCTTTATAGGCACAGGTTCTCTTGTGCTGGGAATCTCTGTGGCCTTTTGAAAGGTTTGAGGGTGCCAGTAGCCCAATTTCCACAATTCATAAAGCATCACATTTGGAGTTCAGGCTGGTAAACAAAGCCAGCTTCAGAGAGAGACAACAGAACCACTAAGTGTAGATTTGTAAACTGCGTTCCCTTCACAACAATCCCATATTCCCTTCACACATGTCAGCTCAGAACCTGCATGATGAATAACAGCGATGTGTGCAGCATCCACAGCACAGCACGAGCCATCAGACTGTCCTGCAGGAATGTTTTAGGGACAGCCAGACTTCAGGGACATTTTACTGACTGTGTCCATGTGCAGCTTGGCTCCAATCAGTCATTCCTGAGGACAACAATCAAATTGAACACAACCCACAGTCATTAACATCATTAATGGATGAGTCTCTGAGGAGAGATAATTTTGTGCTGCCCTTCAGCTTTCTGGGAGACAATTCTTGGAAGAGACTGTCATGTTTGACATCCCCTCTCTGATCCCCAATCCCCTGTTTCTCCTGAGCTGAGTCCTCGTACGTGGAACTTCCACCAGAAACGTTGCCCTGCTCCTGCCGTTCAACTGGGTCTGTGAGGATCAACCTCTCCTCTACCAGACTTAGGTATTGCAAATGTTTCCTTTGATTAAAAACTAATCCATATCAACCCTTCCCACTGGGCACTCTGAGATGCCCAGAGAAGCTGGGGATGCCCCATCCCTGGAAGTGTTCAAGGCCAGGTGGGATGGCACTTGGAGCAACCCAGTATAGTGAAAGGTGTCCTCGACCCAGTCATCTGATGTCTGTCCTAAACACCTTCAAAAGATGTTGAAAAATCAATTTTACTTGTATTTTTTATTAAGGGATAAAACTTACTCAAATAGAAGGTGTAAGAAATTAAAAATAAAAATCTGCTCAATAAATTCTAATGTGATTTCTATTTCAGTCAGGGAGACGTATAATAAAACAGAGCATTATAACACAAGACATTTTTCTTCCAAATACTATTCTAAAATGCCTTAAAGATTAGAATAATATAATCACTAAATTAAATAGCTCATAATGGAAGTGATCAAATATAGTATTAAGAGGCTCAGACAAATGAGAAAAGCTGCTTTCCAATAAGATTTTAAAAAGATACAGCAAGTCACTGAGGCAGAGACTCAGAAAGGCTCTTCCAGATGGCAAGGCCTTCAGAGGAATAGGGGTTTGCACCAAAGGCACTTCTGTGGGAGAGCAAAGTGAAGAAATGGTTGTCAAAGCAGTCAAAAGAGAGGACAAGTCAATAGAAGGTGACAAAATAGGATACAAACAGCAACAGCAATGGCCAGATCGACTGGGACAGCTCACATTTACAAAAGGATTTTGTATAAGAGGAGAGAATTATATTGAAAAATAAAGGCAATGAGACCACAATGTGAAGTGCACAGGTAACATCATTGAAAAAGTCGTACAGCCAAGAGAAGCAGGATGAGGAGACAGTGGTGAAGGCAGGAAAAAGAGAATGATCCCTTTGTTCTACTGTTTGAGCCAAAGGTGGAAGAGATTTGTTGACAGAAATGAAGATACTCTCCAGAGAAATGGACTTGCAATGTTTCTCAACAATCACACTTCTTGAAGGTTGAGGAGATTAAAGACCTGTCAAACTGATCTACACCTATCACACACCTGGGGAATGTGTATTCCTGCACCTACAGACACTGGAAGGAATAACAACATCAAACCAGCAGAATTTCTTACAACATGAAGAAATTTTGTCATTTCTGTGCTTTGTTCCAAACATGACGTTATCCATAATCCTCTGGGCTTTTGTGGGAATTTTGCCTGAAATGTGCCAACGTGACTACTCCCACAAGAGAGCAGGCTTGGATGTGTTCCCTCTGTGATGTGTCTGACTTATGAAAATAAACCATTGATGAGCATCAATACAAACAATCAGCCCTGTAAACATTTCTGCTGGGCTTGAGAATCGCTCTGGAGATGCAGAGATGATTATTCAGCAAATTCCTCTGCAATCCCCAAACTGATGAGCACAATCTTTCATCCAAGGTCTCCTCAGTGCTCAGGGGAATTGTCACTGCAGACACCTCTTACTGAGCTCTATCATTCAGGTAACATCATCCAACAGGATTTTCATCCACTAAATTAATTTACAGTAAACAGGATTTTTCTGAATGCTTCTTTGGAGAACAATATCATTCTTAAAGAGAAATTGAGCAGATGCTTTTAAAGAACATTAGATTTCAAGCACAAATCCACGCTGACATTTATGCCCGAAACATTTCTACAGCAGGTGGATGATCTATGAGGATGCTCCTCCATTGCACAGTCATTCTTTGCAAACTCAAAATTCATCTTAAGAAACAAACAATATGAATACTAAAATCTATGAAGTATTTCATGCTTAAAAAGAATGCTCAGCAAGAGCATTTTAAATAACAGGGAAGGAGCAGGACAAGTGCCTGCATACGGAATTAAATAAAGTGGATCTGAGAGGTAAAAAGGACCATTTACTAAGATCCCAATTGAACCTGAAAAATAATTGAGAGTTAAGAAATCTACCTTCTTATTTTAGCAAGAGTTTATTATTAGAAATATTTTATTATTATTTTATAGGCTTTGAGACTCCTAAATTTGGGAATCAAGAGCTGTGCATTCCTAACTGTGCACTGTCTTTCCTCAGTAGGAACTTTCGTGGATCAACCAACTGCCACAGTTTGATTTTATGGGAAAAAGGCAACTCCTGTGCCATCAAGTGAAGTTACAGCCTTGATCACGTAAAAAGTTACAAGCAGGAGTAAAGAAATTCACACAAGTAATGCCATTGATCTAATTTGCTTTGTACTAAATCAATCTCAAGGCAATTTATTCACATGCAGAACTGTTTCCAGCACAGAGTCCTCACAGAACGTCTTTTAAAAAATTGGAAACAATCATCGTAATTGTTAAGCAGGAAAATATTTCAGTGTTGAAAAATGACATCTCACTGGAAACTAATTATAAACAGAGACGGCAAATCTGTTATTGTGTCCTGGCTGTTTAAGTTAATTAGTTGGGAATTCATAACTTTGCAGAGATTATGGACCAAGATCTTCAACAGAGAAACTCTGGAAACATTTTTCCTTCAACGTTCCATTTTAAAACTTAATTATTACTAAATGAGAAGCAAATGGATTTATGAATGCAAAGGTTTATAGGGAACATTATCAAATTAAATACTAATTACTTCTATGAGGTAACTGCCAAATGTGTTATTTTGTATTTGGGAGCTGAAATAGTCAAAATATCTACTTTTTTTTGAACAAAATTTCCGTTTTTGAAATGCAGCCTCCCTGCAGCTGAACTAAACCTACACACACAACTCTCTCCAGCAGACTTGATCAGAAATAATTTCACAAACTCTTCACACTCCACGGTTTTGTAGTTCCTTGTGGGCTGAGGAGTGTTGGGAAAGAAAAAAAACAGGAATAACCAAAATTCCTAGCAGTCTCCTCATGTACATCTTAGCAAGAAAGCTCTGAATGCACAACTGGGGAGCCCAAACAACCCCAGACAGCCTAAAAAGAGAGATTAATGACATTGCTCAGTTACAGTTGAACTGCTAAACTGCCTCAAATTTTCTGTCTAAAAGTTGCACTGTAACTAAATAAAACCTAAGGAAACACTCCCATCACTGGCACTGTCTTTACCAGGATTTTATGGATGCTTTTTCATCACAAAAGAAAAACAAAACCCAATAAACAGCACCTTCCGGTGCCTCAAGGGCCTCCAAGAGAGATGGAGAGGGATTTTGGACAAGGGCCTGGAATGACAGGACAAGGGGGAACGGATTCAAAGTGACAGAGGGCAGGGGGAGATGGGATATTGGGAAGAAATTTGCCCACAGAAGCTGTGGATGCCCCATCCCTGGAAGTGTCCAAGGTCAGGTTGGACGGGGCTTGGAGCAACCTGGGCTAGTGGAAGGTGTCCCTGGCCACGGCAGGGCATGGATCAGGACAATTTTTAAGGTCCTTTCCAACCCAAACCGTTCAGGGATTCTGTGATTATTTTTATTTTCCATAAGTAAGGGAGAAAAGACATGAAATATCCTGTGAAATACACTGGTAAACAATGTGGAGATTAGGAACAAGATTCCTCTGTATTTAACTGGAATGAGCTTACTGTAAATCAAAAGCTTAAAAGTTTTAAAGTTGTAATTGGATCAGCAGGGCTCTGACAGTTCCCTGGTTTTATAGCAGTGTGGATCTAAAAGAATGGCTTTTTCTCAAAAGAGGCTCACAAGAGACAAGCAGTAAAAAAGATCCAGTCTGGGATACATTTTTCAAAGGAATTTCAAATAGACTATCAAGCTCTTAATGCTCTTTTTGTATTAGGAGTAAACAGAGCTCCAGTTTAAACTTCAGAATGTAACATACCCTACTTTGCCAACTTTTTCTCATTGCACCCAAGACCCCATTATTTGACAGATGACAAGGACTTACCTGATTGTCTGCAGTGTTTGATATCCAATCTTGACAAGCACAGTCTATTAAATTAGAGGAATGCCAGCCAAAGAGAGTGACAGACGTTTCCAGAGACAAAGAGGAGCGAATAAAAAACAAATACTAAGATTTTCACCTGTGCAGCCCCAGCTCACTGTTATCAAGACTCTTATCCCTCAAAGATAATGATTACAGCTCAAAATAAAGTTAGTGACTAATATTCTGTGGAGAGCAGCACAAAATTCATAACAAATGCTTATAACCCTATCCCTAAAATCCATTTATCTGAGTTCCACTGACTTTCACTGGGTCTTAGACATCTAAGCCAGTGAGATGCTTTTGAATAACAAACCCAGAAGAGCTGCAGATAAAACTCTGGGCATCTTCAATTCAGAAAGTTCTGCCTTTCTGGTACAGAAATCCAAAATGTGATAAAATGTCTGCCCTGAATAACAGCACGAGCCCAAATGTCTGCTGAGGGATCCTAAATAAAGGGTCAAGGCTCAAGGCATCACCTCACTGGGGCTTTGTGAAGCCTCCTCTTTGAGGACTTGAGACCTTTGCAGCCTTTGATATCAATAACAGTGGCAATAAGGAGTTGGATTTTCCCCCTCCAGTCTCTACCTGTGTATTCCAGGTAAATCTCTGGTTATCCATCAGCATTCCAGGCACGTGGAGGGCACAGAGAAGGGAAGGCCACCTGTCAAGCAGAAAAAGAACAAGTGCTATTAGGGAGGATTTTACAAAGTGACAACAGCTCAAGTAGCAACAGGGACAGTGCAGTTTATATGCTTAAAATATAAGCAGGAAAATAGCCTGGACCAAAAAAAACAAAAACACCTTCCAGGGGAAATTCCATTAGGGAGATCAAGGACCAAGTTGTGTTCTCAATTTGTACAAAAACCAGCTTGGCTATAGGGCAAATGCATTAAGTGTTTGACAACCCAATAGAGCTTTGAACTCAGCTTGATCTCATCTTTTACAGTGTTTTTTTATTACTAGTTCATAATTAAACTTCTAACAAAAACCATTTTATGTTACCAACACAGGCCAAGTGAAACATTTGGGTATCAACCTTGAACCCCCCTTGCTGGGTATATCCTAAAAGTTATAAATATTTAACTGCCAGGAAATATGACACCTGTCTTACAGGGGGGGAAATATTATTATGGCTTAAAATATATTTTATTAGAAGAAAAATAATAAGATGGGACGAATGTATAATCTGAATGCAGGTTATAAAATCAGGGAAAAAAGGAGAAAATATTCTAATGGGATATGAAAACATCTATTAAATTATGTCTTTGTTCTGACCCTCACTTTATCTTCCCAAACTTTTGGGGATAAATGGCTACCTAAGAGCACCAGTGTGGGATTGACATGAGCACTGCCCCCAAAATCATGAAACCCACTCAGATTTCTGAGTTAAGGGATGTATTTTTAATATGCAGTAATATTTCTCCAAGAGTGTTCTCCAATAATAGTTTCTCCAAGAAACATTCCTGTGTTCCACATTTGAACAAGGTTTATATATGAAATTTGGGGAAGATTACCCTCAGATCTGGAGTAAATTACAGAGCCTTAATAAAAAAAAAACAAACAAAAAACAACTTAGCTTAAGTGGAAGCCTTTCCAATAGGAATAGTTATTTTTATTCACAGCATGAAACTGCAGCAATATGACAATTATTCCAAAATTTATATTACAAGTTCCGAATTGGAGATTAAACGCCTGCAGCATCCCCAACTCTGGTTACAGGTTATCATCCCCATGCAATTGTGGACAAAAACAGAGTGAGCAGAATTCCCAAAAAAACCCAAATTACCTGTACATTGTCAAGTATTTATAATTCTTTTGAAAATTCTCATAATTTCCAGATGATAAAAAGAATACTTTCTAGATCTATCTTTTTCTTGTTGTTGGTTAGTTTTTCACTTACATTTTCTCTGTACATTCTAATTATAAATGATTTTGGGGCTTATTAAAAACCTTTTTTTTCCCTTCAGCCAGCACACTGGCTAAGATAAATTGAATGACAGGTAGACAAATATAGACAAATAACGTGGTCCCATTTCTAGAGCAACACACATATTTGTGGCAAAATCCTGCCAGGCACATCTGGGAAAAGGAATTAGGGTGATCCAGGCTGGTAGGTGGTGCTTAGTGCACAAACCAGGATTATTGTATTAATTTATTTTGTTATCAGAGCTCACAAACTGCACTTGTTGCTCCAATGAGGAAAAAGTATCCAAATATAGGAAATACCAACCTTAATAATATTGGTGCAGCCACCATTGCTAAGATTGGGGGTTTTTTTCTATCTTTAATTTGCAAGGTGATCTGAGCTGCTTCAATCTTCCTTTCATTAAATACACTGCTTTTTTCCATCTCAAATATCAATGAAGGCAACTGCTGTATAAATCTTATAGTAATTGCTGATACTTGAGTAAGAAAAGATTAGAATCACATGACACATAACCCCTGGAAAGGATTTGAATAAAGGGGAATATTTCAAAATAAACTCCACTAAATCCTTCAACTTGTGGACTTTCTTTTATTGAAGTACCATCACTTTGTACAACAGCTCCAATCTCGGGGGACAAAGCCTTTGTGCTTTTTTAATTAATTTCTTCCTTTATCTTGATGATCTTCTTGATTTGCTAAAGCAATCTAACAAGAGTGTTATTTTAATAAAATTGCACTCACCATTTCTCTGCCTGGAGTTCCCAACCGCTAACATGGAATAATCTACTATGGATTTACAAATTTCAAATAAATTGGCCCCTCTTTGCAGCACTGCCAGAATGCTGACACTCAGCAACCAGATGCACTCCTTAATCCAAAATTTATCATGATTGTGGTAGCTATGGAATATTTTATCATGCTTATCCTAGAAAAATTGCTACAGGGTTTGGGGTTTTCTTAAATACTAACTAGGTAGTTTTATATATAATTTGCTTATAGCCACAGGCTGACCTTAAACATATAATTTTGTTTACTAATTATATAGCATTTTATAATCCCTTTGCATTATTAACTAATTTAATTAAGTTGCTTTTGATGATTTATTTATTTCCATGCAATAAAAGCTGTGGATCTTCCAGACTGACACAAATTTCATCCTCTGGGGAAGAGTTGCCCCATTTTATACCTGGTGAAGCTTTGTCCTGTGGACCCCAGCAGTGCCATGTTCCAGTCCAGATAAACCTCTCATCCTCCAAAAATAAAACTAACACATCTGCATTTTCCCAAATTCAGAGATGTGTAGTGTTGCAAACCTCGGTGCAGTTTGGACAATGTATCCTCAAGAGATCACTTTAGTAGCATTTTAATGAGACTCTGGGACTGTAGTTGAAATACATTTTTGTTTCTCATTCAGGCACCTTGCCTTTTAACACTTCATCACTATTCATTAAGTTTAAACTGCTTTTTTAACCCCTATTCAAAAACACATTTTAAGGTGAGGCAGCTTCTTGGAGAGCCCTCAGGCAAGAGCTGCAAGTCTCTCAAATTGCAGTCGTTTTTCTGGCAAACAAGTCTGCCCAAAAAGGAAAGAATATTAAGGAGAACTTGACATGAAAAAGCAGCATTTCACTTTTTTCTTCCTTTTTTTTTTTTGTCTTTTTCATAAAGAGTAAGGTTATATTTTAACAGTTATTTTTTGCCATGACAGCAGTAACGCTACGAAAGGCACGATCCCACAGAAAAGAATTCCCCTAAAAGTCCATAAATTTCAATCTGTCAGGGATGGGCTAATCAGTTCAGAGCCCTAGAGGAAAGTCAGATACTTTAGGCCACGTTTAAAGCCTGAAGAGAAAATTGGTGTTGACCTAAGATTCTATTGGAAATAACTGGGGAAGTTGAATCAGTGTCTTTATTTACTGTGCCCTTCCCTGGGATGAGCACAGGGAATCCAGCTGGAACTGAGGATGGGAGGAGCAGGAGCAGAGCTGACACAGTCTGTTTGCTCAGGACAGAGGAAATAAGGCCAAGCCAGTTAAGGGAAATACCTTAATTTAGCATAATTTCTGAAGCACCTCTTCCTCCAGCAGGTAGAACTGAGCAAGCTTCAAAATTCTCACTGAATATGGTTTGGGGGCTGATTATAATGTTAATTTTGTCAGAGACAAAAGACAGCAAATTCTCTGAGTTGAAGGTTGTCATTATGTCCACATCATATTTATGACTGCAATAGCTAACCTATAGGAGTCCTAGACATCAATGAAACACAAATAAAACATATAAAAACAATCTTGGAAATGCCTGTGGAGGAAAATGAAATGGAAACTTTAGAGTATGTTCAATTTCTATGATCATTGTGGATCCCTTCCTATTCAGGATATTCTATGATTTCACAAGAAAATGTAAAATTCATAGCTTTTCCTCTCTGTTTAAAAGTATAAGCAAATGTCCTATACTTACAGCAAATATTTTTGCACATTGTGTAGGGATTTGTATTTAAAGCCTCTGAATTGTTTGTTTTCTTGGAAGTATAAATAAAAATTTGAATCATAAGCACACAATGAAAAGGCTGCAACTCATAGCATAACACTTACCTGGTTTGCTGACTTCAGAAATCATAATGATTGTTAAAAATTAAAACACCCCCATTGCAAGGCCAAAACAGTGGGTTGGGTGGGTGAACTGGTTGGGTTAGAGGATGAAAATGTTCTTTGCCAGATTTAGCTGATAATTGCAACCAACATCAACCAGCAACACCCCTGGATACAGGTGAGCCCCTGACCCATCACACCAAAACCTTTTGGGCCAGGTAAGAGTGAACTGGGACAGCTTTGGAACATTTAATCTCAAGTTTCTGTTCCAAGGCATCATAGAGAGCATGGCACTAACAGCATTTGTAGAGAAAAGTATTAAGAGTATTACAACACAGTATTTTTCCTCCTTTCTTCTCCAAAAATGAGGAAAAAACCAACAAATTCTCTCTTATAAAATGGGTTTTGACTTGTTTTTTGGCCAGGAACATGAGGTCCTGGAAGGTTCATGAGACATTTATCTGGTGTAAAACACAGTTCAATACCTAAATGACTTTTTCCTTTCAAAGTTTAAATAAAGCCCAGCAACCTTTAGCCTTTAGTGGTTCCCCATTGCTAATTCCTTGAATGGAAGCTTTTCTGAAAAAATAAAAAGTGCTTCACTGATCAGGAGAAAGGGAAACATTTTACAGTTGACCACTGTGCTGTTTGTGTGGAAGAGAGGGTTTTAAAGAAGCAATACATCTTTTTCTATCTGTGTACAAATATATCTCATTATTAAGCTATAAATCAAGCCTCATGGGCCAATTCAGCTGGAAATATTAATTACACAGTTCGGCCAACTGTCCATTCCCTTTCCTGGTGAATAAGAGGAAACTACTTTGTGATTTGTTCTGCACCCAACCGAAAAACTTGAAGTTTTTTGAGAAAATTCGTATTTCATTACTTGGCCATTTCCTGTCAGATATTTCACCACAGAGTTCTTCAACATAAAAGGAAATTTATTTTGCATTCAATCAATTTTACTACGATGCTTATATTCGTCATTACATTTTTAAAGTCCGTGGCTATAGCTGTGAAATTAAATCAATACACATTTCTTTGTTCAGAGGAACAATATAACACAACAAGGCAAAGGAACAGACTACATGACATCCTAAGCAGTTGTTTCTTAATTTAAAAATAGAGATAG